ATATTATGTCTGACCTGTAAGTCGACACACGACGTTTCATGAATCTAGCTTTAATATTTTTCCAAATATTTAAAATTAACATTCGGAGTTGCATGACAGCTACACGAACCTATCAAGTCATTCCACCAAAATTTCAGAAATATATGTGACCTAAAATTGAACACACACGACTGCCAAGTTTCATGAATCTAGCTTTATTATTTTTCCAAATATTTAAGATTAACTTTTGGAGTCATATGGCAGCTACCCGAACTCGTTGTCCGAGTTGGCCCAATTACAATAGCAGCCGCCGTTTGCGCAAAAGAAGGAACTTGTAAAAGTTTGGTTTCGGTTGCTTTATCCGTTTTTGAGTTATCGTGCCATCGGACGGATGGACGGTCATGTCTAAATCGACACAGAATTTTACGCTGAGCAAGAATATATATATATGTCCATATCGAAGACAACTCCTTCAAATGGTTTCAAACTCCATACCAAAGTGAATATACCCTTTCCGAAGTGGAGAATATAAAAACGATCTTCTCTTTACATTGCCTTTGGAATGTGCTATTATTAATAATATGAAAATTATTGCATATGTGTAGGTTCAGAATGAAACTTAAAGAACAATATTCCAAATTCCATTTTGTGAAAAGAACATAATATTAAACGGTACTCATTTGTTTTTAGAGAAATTTGACAAGGTTAACAATTTGAGCGAACTTAGTTGCGGAAAACTGCGATATTGTTAATTTTGAGAATCGATAGCACAGACTTGTGCAGTGTTTATTATGAAACAAAATTATTTGTTAGAGTCCAGAATTTTTAAAAGTTTCAAATTGTACAATTAAATCCGCGTTAGGAGATGGTCCACAACTTTAAAAGGTAAGGTATTTAAAAATTCTCTTTTGACGAAATTGGTTTCTCAGCAACATCCTTAATTAATTTAATGAGTTATTTAGTGAATTTTTAACAATATTTTTAATAAATTTTAAAATTTATGAATAATATTGCAATCAGAAATCACGAAATTTTTATATTATTAAAAGATTCTCATTTTATTTAATTTAAGCAAACTATAGATTTCTTAAATATTTATAGGCAAAGTCTTTGAAAACCTAATAATTAGATATATTCATAATATTAATTTGCGAATAAATTATTTATGTAAATTAGTTCCTAGACCAGGGATGGGGAACCTTTTTTCTATATAAGGCCAAATTTTAGTCAATGCAAAGTCAATCAGGCCGCAAAGTTTAAAAAAAAGTCCAAAGGTTATAAATTTTTGCTTTGTGTAGGTTGATGAAAACAAAATTATGTCAGAATATAAAAAATAACATAAAACAGTTTATTTCATAAATAAAAATAGATAAGTAAGTATGTACATTATTAATAAAATAATATGGTTCATTATTTCAATGACTTTTCTGTGATTGTTTGTTGCTCGATAACAATTTTATATTTGGTTCCAGCCTCGTTGACTTCAATCTTAGTTGGTCTTCCAAATGAGCGTTAGTTAATTGGGATCTCAAGCAGTATTTAATTTGCGTCATATGTGAAAATGTTGATTCACAGCAATAAGTTGTGCCGAAACAGGAGAGGATACGTTTTTTATAATAATTTTAAGTTTGAGCTTCTTTTAAATTTTTGATTTTGATAGGATTCAAATATCAATATGTGTTTGTTTTCAAACAATAAATAAATTTTGAACTCAAACAAATGTGTGAAAGCATTTTTTTAAAATTATTGAAAAAGTTTACTAGCGTGGCATACAATTATTCTGAAAGAAGCCCGGACATAGGATTCAAATATTAATATGGGTTTGTTTTCAAACAAATATGTATGTAAATTTTGAATTCAAATGTTGTTAGAAATTTCATGGCTTTGAATTTTCCAATTTTTAGTTTTCAAATTTGAAAGTTTATGTGCACGGTTTATTTTTCTAAATGTTTGATTTGTTTTCGAAAATTTGGCAGCAAAATTTTAATTTTTAAGAAATATAAGAAATAAATTTTTTTAAGGACAAAGGCCACTAAAAAACAGTTAAAAGGCCGCATGCGGCCTTAAGGCCGCAGGTTCCCCATGCCTGTCCTAGACATTACGTCGTTGTCCTATAACAATTCGCTTATTTTATAAAAATGTGGGAAAATTTCAAAATTATTTAAGGAATTCTAAATAAAAAATTCCATATTAATTATTCTTATAAAAATTTCAAATGAATATTATAATTAACGTGTATAAGAAAATTTAAGTAGGCAAATTAGTAGACAAAATTATGAACATTCAATTAAATTTATGAGAAATTTAATCACTGTACATTAGATCTATAAGTGTGTAACATACTTATGTAAAAGAATTTTACAATTAATATGATAAAAAAATTGGTTTCTTTAAAATTTTTAATCTGTATTTAAGTTTTATCAATACTTCCTTTTGTATTTGTTTACAAAATTTTAATTACAGGTTAAATGAACATAATAAAATTCAATGAAAACTTCAAGAGGTTTTCTTATTAAAATTTAGTAAATTAAGCATAAAGGCTTCTTTACTTAATCCAATAAAAGTTAATGACAAACTATTTTTTTTTTATAGATTAATATCATAACTTTTTCTATTCTTTACACATAATAGATTTTAATAAGTTAATCCTTTCATATTATAGCTATATAATTCAATTAATAATTAAGTAATTGTACATTTTAATTGAAAATCTTTAAAATTTTCTCATGTATAAATAATATCCTTTCTCTACAGGACTTAATTATTTTATTGAGTTCTTATTTTATAATATTCATAAATAAATTTTCTATAGCTCTTCTTTCTATATAATATATTGGATATTATCTTGGATATTAATTCAATTTTCTTTTAAAAAATATTGTCATTAGTTTTTAGAACTAAATGAAAGTTGAAAAACTTATAAAAACAAGTTCACGACTAAAATATGTTTTTTAAAAATTTGGACTTAAAAAGTTTTTGTAAAGAATAATATTGTTTCATTGAACAGCGCTATTCACGTTATGCAGCCCCATCTAAATTTCAGAAAATTCGAAACAAATCTAAAACTTGTGAACATTTGATGACAAAATATTCGGCTTAGTTTTGATATTTTAGACTGGTAAATAAATTATTATGAAATGCACATATGGGAGAAAAATGAAAGATAAATTCTAGACAAGTAAAAGCACTTCGTTTCGGTCAAATTAATGTTTGTAAACTTATTTTTTTTTTGCAATTTTAAATTCCTTAACATACGACGAATAAAAATTTAAGTTTCAACTACAAATAAAATATTTTAATTTAAAGTTCAACATACGTTCTACATACAAAATTATTAGTAAAAGGATAAAAGAAACTCATTATAAATTTATTTCATCTAGATAAAATTTTAAATATTTTTCAAAAATTCGATGTGAATTATGGAAAATTTTTCGACTATAGCATTATCCTGTACGTACAATAATTTTTAATCATTTAATTTATTATAATTTGGAAATTACAAGTCATTCTTTAAACATTTGAAATATTTTAAATTTTTGCTTTTTTTTTTATGAAAACTATAATTTAAAATTATTGTAAAAAAGACCTCACCAAAAATGAATTATTTCCCTACATAGAAATTTTCATTGTGAAGTTATAAAACTTATAATATAAACAACGTACACACGTACTTGGTGTATAAATTTTTAAATTAAATATTTAAGAACTACAATTTACATTGTCCTGAAAATCTATTATGAAAAATTATTTTTGTTTTTGTTCTCCGAAAATTATTAACACCCAACCATTTCAATATAAACATAGATTCTTAACTAATTATATATTCAAATACCCTTTCATAATAGTTTGAACGCATATCTAGATAGCTATTAGATATTATATTATAGTCTATTTCGGATTACGTATTTACATTTAGAATTAAAAATATTTTATCGTTTTAACTAAATTAAACGTAAGTTTTAAATATTTTCACATAAGTTATTTACAAATAGAATAAAAAAGCAGAAATAATATTGCATTGAGCTGTTTTAAAGTGACTGCATTTAGTAAGTTCTGATTCGGACCTGAACCGCATATTCATTATAAATTCAAGTTTAATCCATTCATTTAAGAAGTGTCCCGTGCTACAAAATATTATCATTGCTAGGTAATTAAAAAATATGTTGTGGTCAGCATATAATCGACTACAATCGATCCCTCAAATGATAAGTATGTATATAGACACAAAGAATGTGTGTCAATATATTTAAAAGAACGCATTGCGGAACCTTCTAACTTGATTATATATACAATCGACATTTCGATAAATAATCGACATCGAATAGAATTATATATACAATCGACATTTTAAGAAAACTCATTCATTAAGGTATTAAATATATCGTCAAAAATGTAGTATAGAGTGGTATTTATGGGTTAGTTTTTGAAATTCACACTTTATTTTATCCCAAAATTTAAATAGAGAAAATGTGTAAATACCATAATGATGTACGACATAAAGACGAACTGATTTCATGCAAAAAGGCTTTCTCTTATATGGAAAAGAAAAATTGACTCTGTAATTTTACTGTGATTACAATACTTCTCTTTCTGTTTGAAATTCGGTCAGCAAAAAGGTAAAATATATCGTTATATATTTAACGGAGTTTTGTACACTCGTAACAGTTATTTAAAATTTTAATTCATTCTTATTTCGCATTAAATGTATGTGTTTGTATGTATAAATGTTCTAATTTACGAATAAATAATTTTACTATACTAGCAATTTAATTAAATATAATTCACGAATTTTATCTCTTTATTTTTATCATTTTTCAATGTTTTCCACTTACTACATATTCCTTTCTTCTTTCATACTCCAATTTCTACTTATGTGTATGTATATAAACTCTTCACGTTTATATAAGTGTAAAAATGTATTATGCAATCATTTGTGTGTGATATTATAATATTTTATAAAATATTTAATTTTTATTTTTACTTCTCTATATTTTACTAAATACTTTTATATATATATGCAGGGTCTATTTTGGGCTTTAGCGTGTATTTGGTTAATATACCCTGGTATTAAGATGCCACATATAAAAGGTGAAGCATATGTTGGTAATTCGACCTATGAATTCATTTATACACAATATATACCAACGGAATTCTTTATTAACGGTATTGTATCTGGTTTATTAACCGTTGTGAACGTGATTTGCATATTTATAACTGCAATTATCGTATTAAAAATAAAAGAAGTTTCAGCACCATATACAGCTAGTCCCGATCTAAAGAGGTAAATATAAAAATATTTTTATTTATAAAAATAATATTATGTCCTTATACCTTAAGGATATATTATTAGTAAGAATGTGGGTATGTGTGTGTATTTCATATTTTTTTATGAAAATTTTGTTTTTTATTAATTTCCTATTTAAAATGTTATGTCATTTGTATGATGTTAATATAGAGTATTTTTACACTGAGAAAAATATTTTTTAAACAGAACGGGCAGAAAATGTTTATTTGTGCTTTGAACAAAAATAATACGAGTTTTAAAATTTTTTATTTACAAATCTAGATATGTTTTTTTTTTTAGTGTGTATATGTTTATACATGTATCGTATAATCGTATACCAGTTCCTTAGAAGCACGTGTGTTAAGTAACTACATACACATTCTTAATTTAAGTTTCAAACACATTTCGTTAATAAAGATATTGTTGTATTAACAGAATTAAAAGAAAAAAACATTCTTTTTTGACTAGCAAAATTCGGAATTTAAAAAAGTTTAAATAAAGAATAAGCCAATAATGTACGGTACACGTACAATGAATTGAAGTTTCTCCTGTCACATTTTCTATTTAAACTTCAATTTAATAAATTTAAACTATAAAATGTTTTTATTAAATTTCATTTAATACAAGCAAACTTCTTGGTTTTGAATATTTCAGTTTATTAAAAATTATAACTTAATGTTTTTTGCATTAGCTAGAGTGTTTGCTATTCAAAAATAATTTCATTTTACCAAGAAAAGGTATTATACCATATTATAAAAAACTTTATAAAAGTTTTGGCAGTACATGTTTAGTTTCATATTTTGGTTTTCTAATAATATTGCATACTATAATTAAATAAGTTAAATTGGTAAAATTTCTGATTCGAATATAAAATATAAGTTGTATGTTATATAAGTTAAATTCGAATATAAAATATGTAGGTATGTATGTATAAAATTTGATTTCGAGTAATATAAGAAGTGATGAACTGCAAAATGAGCATGAATCAGATGATGTTATCATTAGGTTTCTTTGAATTATAAATATAATTTTAAGAAAATTAAAATGAAAACGAAGAATGTGTAAATAAGTGTGTGCATAAATAATGTTCTCATTTAAATAAAATAATTTCTTAGAAAATTAAGAATTATTTTCCCTTTTAGCTACAATGTGTTATATAAAGAAACTACTTAATATTTCAAAAATAATAAACAAAATGAGAAAATTAACGAATTTTCGTATTATGAAAATGAAGTGATGATGAAAATATGTGATGAAAATTAATAAAACAAAATATGGTGTACATGTTAATATTTTGTACTTAAATTATATAATTTTAATATTCCTTACGTATTTATGTTATCAATAATTATGACTAATTATGTTTGGTAAGCATCAAACGTTTGTAAGGAAGATAAATTCCATATGATAAGGCTGGGATGATAATATCGAAATATCAGAATATCAATTTATATTGATTAATTGTTCATAACATTTATTCGATACATGTAATTCCGATATATTGGCATATCGATCCTTTTTTGCCAATATTTATTAATTTATAATATAAAACTCTTTTCCTCTGCTATAATTGTTTAATTATTGTAAATTAATTCCAAATTTCTCCAAAAAGAATTTCTACTTTTGCATTTATAAAGTAATTTATAAATTGTTAATCATTTTTCTTCACATACAAGATTTTATCTCTTAATGCAAAAATCAATACAATTAACAAAAAGTAATATAAAAGCTGCTATTTAAAAAAAATTATGTTTTTGAAATGATTTATTTCTTCCGAATTTAAAGAGTTGTAATTATAAGTCTTAACAAATCCTGAACATAAAGTTTTCTTTAAATAATCAATAATATTCTTAAAAATATCGAATAATCGATATTGACGAAGAAATACTTGTTCAATTTATCCTAACGATATTTTTATGCTGTAAGTCCCAACTCTATAAAAAAATGCAAACATAATATTGTTGTTAACCACATTAGTTGGAAGTTTTTTTATTACGAACGACTTAATTATCGTTCAAATATAAACCAAATATAATATTGCAATTTGAAAAGAGAACAGTTGATAAAATTGTTATCACAAATCCGCTTAAAATTATAATTAGAACAACTGTTTATAAACCAATGATCATTTGTCAAAAAACTTCATTGAATACGTTTTGCTTAATTGTTTTGTGTAATTCAATATTCTAAATTAAATATTATTAATTTGAAATTTGAAAAAACTATATATTTCGTGTTACTAATTATGGACTCTCGTTGTGAAGGCTATTGTTATTGTCTATCAAATTACCACTGTGTGTATGAAAAATTTACATTTTTTTCCTAATTAAATTTTATAATTAACTTTTTCACTTGAATTTAAGATACAGTTGAATTTAAATAAAATATACCTGGAGAAGAGGTACAAGAGGTTTTAAAATTCTCTAGCAGTAATCGTCATCGATAAAACATTTGTTCGCCTTTTATTAGTGTATAGTACTTCCATTTTTCGGCTTTTATATTGTTTTCTAAATTTATGCAAATTTAACTGGAATATTTTCAGTAAAAATCGCCCTCTTTCAATGCAATATAATAAATTCAATACAATATAACTTATTACAAGAATTGTTTTAACAGAACAAATGAACTGTTCTTACAAAATAATTGTTTTAACAAAATTATTTCTCTAATTAAACCAAGACCATTATAAACGTCAGCTTCAGAATTGAGCAAATGTTAAAGAGAAATGTGCTATCTAATAAGTTTCTTTGGTCGATATGATTTTTGTTTAATTTTTATACCCGTACGAACGTATGTTCGAAGGGTATACTTAATTTGCCTTACCGTTTGTAACACTAAGAAATAACGGTCTTAGATATGAACTCAAGTGCATGTTTTTGATCAATGTCGAATTCTGAGTCGATTTAGCGTTTTCTGTCCGTCCGTCCGCTCCAGCGATAGCTCAAAATCTGATAAAGATAAAATTTTTTGAAATTGCTTTGCTCTTTCTACGAGTAGTAGCTGCCATACAATTTCAATAGTAGTTTGGCCATTTTTTAAACAATATTGGAAACACAATACTCAAATTTTGCATAAATTAATATGGTATGTATGTAAGTAATAAGGTTGTAGTATGTCCCATAGTCAGCAATGACATATTTATTCGCACATAGGATAACAAATTTGTACGGGTATCACAGAATTGACACGGTCTACTCTATTTTTTCTCGTTTGAATATAAAAATATTTTATATCTAGGTTATATGAATCCAGAGGCAGGTTTTATAAAACAAGGTCTGTTTGAAAACATCAAAGAATAAGATTGGCGTTCGACGCAATCGCAATATAAGTGGTAATCCCTTTTACAAAAACCATTTTTTCTTGACATTTTTTTTATCCAGATTCAACTGTATTATTCCTGAAATAATAATAATCTCATATTATTTTAGTAAATAGCAGATTGCCTTTTAAATAAATCTGCAAAATTTAATATTCTATATACATAAAAATACTATCATTTACGCAAATAGATACGTTAAATACATCATCAATTTAAATTAAATTTAGAACTCAATTAAAACCATATTTAAAATACAAAAAAAAAATCATTTCAGGGTTCTGATATTGTATTTTGCCTCAGAAATTAATTTGGCAAGAAAACTCAAATATCAATTTACATATATGTATATGTGTATTTTATAATTATTGAAGTATCCTTTTTATACCCGTACGAACGTATGTTCGAAGGGTATACTAAATTTGCCTTACCGTTTGCAACGCTAAGAAATAACGGTGCTAGATATAGACCCAAGTGTATGTTTTTGATCAGCGTCAAATTCTGAGTTGATTTAGCTTTGTCTGTCCGTCCGTCCGTCCGTCCGAACTATTACTCAAAAACTAATTGAGCTAAGTTCACCAAATTTTCACAAATGATTTATTGTAGTAAGTGCCAGAACCCTATTTAAATTGGACATGATCGGGGTACCGGTTCGGGTAGCTGCCATACAACTTTAAAATTTATTTGTCTATATCTCAGAAACTTTAAAAGCTGTGGTATTGAAATTTCACACAAACAAATATATTAGTAGGGCCAATGTGTCTCATAAAAGTTGTTGAAATTACTTGGTTCCTTCTGGTACCTGCGATACAACTTCAAAAGTTATTTGGCTATATCTCAGAAACTATAAAAGCTGTGGTATTGAAATTTCACATAAGCAAATATATTAGTAGGGCCGATGTGCTTGATAAAATTCGTTAAAATTTCTTGGCTCTTTCTGGTAGCTGGCATACAACTTCAACAGTAGTTTTGCATACACAGTATTTTGAAAAACACATTGTACTGAAATTTTGCATAAATTAATATGGTAATACGGCAACTTAAAGTCATAGTCCGTCCCATGGTCAGTTATGGCATCTTCATTCGCACATAGGATAACAAATTCGTACGGGTATCACAGAGTTGACAAGGTCAACTCTATTTTTTCTCGTTTATATGAAAAATAAAATATCTGTGCCTATGTTCCCACAAATGCATAACATGTAATTTCATATAAAAAAAATATTTTGAGATTGCTTTTTTGTTTCGTATTTTAAAACTCATATAGATAAAATATTAATTTTATTTATTTATATACGAGTATCATGTACATGTTATACATAATATATGTATAATATATACTTTTCATATTTAACACTTAAAATGTAAATATTGTTCAAAAACTGGGAAAAACTTTGCAAATATTTGAATTTATATTATTTAAGTTTAATTAATTCATAAATATTTTTAAAGTTTTATTTATTTCAAATATTTTCATTTAAATAACGATTTTAACGATAGATATTATGGATAATTCTTACGTTATAAATTTATGGTAATAGAAAAATTTACTTAGTTGATAAATACCATATGCGAGACCAGGCTGTGCACGTGAGGCAGAGGAAGTGTGACGGATTTAGATAGATTTTTCAATAGAACCTTAGATAGACCACCTGTAATTGTACGAACATTGAGAGCCTGG